CTTAGGTTTTCCTTCTTTGAAAGTTTGACCAGGTCGCTCTTCTTCCAATCGGCAGGCACCCTCCTGTTTGGTTATACTGAGCCAGAATGCCTCAGTGATAAGGCCCCACATTACCTGTTTCTTGGTGCAGGTTCGTATCTCTCAGGTCACATCAGTTCATTTGAGGTATCATTTTTGGTTTGTGGCCGAATGGCAAATAACATGAAGCCTTAGTCAACTACTGTTACCTATAGATCGTCCCCAACCATCTAATGTAGTACAAAATGTAATCCCAGCAGCTGTTCAAAGGTGAATTCATTCGAATGTAAATTGTTCTTCATAAGGATATCCGTAAAGTGGCATCTGATAGTTCTTTTGTGTTATATTCTTCTAGTTCCTAAAATATGCAGTGAGGTGGGAAGAAATTCTCTTAGTTATTGTTGCTTAATTTTTGTATTTCCCCATGTTATACAGTGTCTAACTGCCCTACCTCTGATTGGGAATGAGCTGCTATGCGGATACCTCGATACTGCCAGTTGTTCATGAACACTGCATTCATCTTGGTGACTCAAGTTTCGTCCCACTTGGGACTTATCAGCTGAGTGTACATGCACCTCAGTGAATGATTCTGTTCCTACTGAGATTCGGACCCCATGTCCATCGCTTTAAATACCAAGGTGTTATCCACTAGGTCACATCACGGATGTTAGGCATTGTCAAGGGGTTCATTTGCCGACAGAGATCCAGAAATTTCTTCCTATATAGCAACGGAAAACTATGAGCATCATACAATGACAAATGGTACACACTGCCTAAGAGGTGACTGTCGTGTCCCAGTGGCCTAGCGGGTAACGCTTCGGGGTGTGAAGCGACGGATACCAGGTTTGAGTCTCAGTGGGATGTAGGTAAAACTAGCTGACAAGTCCCGAATGAAAGGAAATACGCCCATGGGATTTCGTTGCTAGTGACCCAGATGAAGACAAAGTAACCTGATGACTCAACAATACAAGACTTTGTTGCAACAAAGTGTGTTTATATCTCAGTGCTTTGATGCACTCACCACCATGATGGTTTTTACGAAAGGTACACAAAATATCCAGTACTTTCAACTACTTATTTTTTTCCTAGTAAGCACCTAGTTAATGCAAGTGGGAAAGTTGATAACAGTAGTTTAAATGCAAAACATTTTCCCCTCCACGACAGTCTAATTGACAACTTAACTGACGTTATCTCTCACTAATTCAGTTGTATTTAGATTTGTTAGAAAAAACGTGAATAAGCAACTTGTCTAATGATGATTAGATGGTATATATGTTACTCTTTTTTGAAGTATCCGGGCAAAACTGTCTATATATGAAGTAAAACTCATGCCTAGTTAGTAGTTGTTGTGTCTTGTAGATCGATCAGGAAATCGCTGGTTCGATAATCTTGAGACTGGTTGCAACACTTCCACAACCCAATTTTTTCTACCAAAACATGTATCAGTTTTGTAAAGAAAGGATAAATCCTGCAACATGTTCTCTGTCGTCTAATTAGGGTTCTTCTTCTCCTTATAACCAATCGTCTTGTATTATAGATCACTCTGATCTCTCCTGCCAACATCTATGGATCAGATTCAGTGGTTTCTAGCCATTGAAGAAGTATATTTCTTACAGGTTTCTTTTTATCTTTGAGAATAGATAACATATGACATGAAACATCAATTCTTTCCCGGACAAGAACACTAAAACCTTAATCTGATCTGAGGATGATGATGCTACTGTTATGTTACAGTTCTTTCAAGGCTTCAAAGTGTTAAGACATTAAAGTATTCTACTGTTATCACATTACACCTCCTTCGAGAACTCATCTCAATTAATCAAGGATAACCGATATTAACACTATTTTTCACTTCCCGTCTAAGCATACAGTTCAACTAGTTTTCATAGCTTTTATTTTTTAAATAGCTTTATCCTTTATAAAAATAAGTTTTAAAACAATCTCAGCATTTTTCAAGTTGGTTTTCATCAAGGACTAACATCAGTTGGATGAACATTGGAAACCTGGGGGCACTGTTTCACCCGACTAGTATAGGACTTCTCAGCAGTGAACTCCGATGACCTTCCCAAAGGTCAAACCCAGTGTCTTTACTTTCCGTGACCAGCACGTTACCACTAAGCTAGTCACTTAATCGGAATCTAATGGTCCATATTTCCAACTTCTATCAGTCCACGACATAGGAAGTCGAAGCAGATTTTTTCTGAATGTTTCTCTGTGCTTGCTAAAGCTTCCCCAGGAGAATATTCGCATTTTTATTAAACATCCCTTGATCCCTAATGTAAGTGTAAAACTTGCGCACTGTGGTAGAATGCTATTCCATTTATCAGATTTTTAAAACTGAGGCTTAATAACGTACATATAGAAAAAGATGAAAAAATGGTTGTTTTCGATGTAACAAGTCGTTATACTAAAATAGTAATCAATATGTGACATGAAGCAGTCAAAATCAACTGGATCAGAGAACTAAGATATCGGCTGATAAGGTCGTATTAGGCGTACAGACGTGCCTGACCCCCACAGTCTTCAAGTTGCAGGACAAAATATACAGACAACCAGTAGCGATGGGACCGCCAGTATCCACAACCGTTGCAGAAATATTTATGGATAGTTGGTAAAACATGGCTCTACAAAAGTATAGTCTTGTACCTAAGATATGGTGGCGATATGTGGATGACACATTTACTGTGTTGAAATCGGAACATACCTACAATTTCCTCACACATATAAACTCAGTAGTGGACACGAACCAATTCACTTACGACGTATAAAATCAACAAAGAGAATTAGCTATGTTGGATTGCAGAACAAAACGGATACTACTATCTATGAGATACCGATACATTCCAACAGGTATTTAGACTTAAAGTCATCTCACCCAAAGACCTAAACAAGGAACTGAAACACATAAAAGAAGCACTAACAGTTAATAATTATCCTCTGCAGTTTATTAAAAAATTCGTATGAACAAACAAGAAAAGAAATAACAACAATAACACAACTACGAATATTAGTGACAACATGAGTGAAAATAAGTTCAAAGCCTCCATTGTGTTACCCGATAAGTAGAGTACATCAGAAACTTTACGTAGGATCCTCAGCAAAGCTGGAATTAGTGTGGCATTCAAACCTACAAACTCACAGATAAGCTTTGTCGGCTGGCTTCAGCATCCAATAGAAACAATCAAGCAAAATAATCTGATCTATCTGATTTATCAAATTTCATATAATGACTGTGAGGTCAAGTACACATGTCAAACCTGCCGACTGGAATTAGTTAGATCAGTGGAGCATAAGATTTTAGCTAAATATGTAATGATAGACCCGAAAAATATCAATAATTTAGAAAAAAGCTCGGCAATTCCAATGCATGGATTAACGCACAGCTACACAATAGGGTGGGTGGAATAAAACCAGTGTACTTCAGTCCGATATAATTAGTTGGAGAGAGAGAGATATTGATTACTGAATCTTTGTTCATCGAATCAGCCAACACTGAACACATGTAATAGGAATGACGCAACACCCAAACCAGAGATATGAAAAATTTCACTAACAATAGAAACAAAAATATGAGGTTACAGGACTATACAAATCAGATGTCGAAAGTGATGGGATTACACGGATATGACTATGAGCAATAACTTATGCTCGAGACATGGTCATCAACTGTGCTTTATGCATCAAATAAACAAATCTAATATGGAATCCCTTCATCCCTTTTTCATATTCCATACAAACATGCATAACAGCTGACTGTGCATGTGTGTATCTTATCAGATTGTTCGAAATGCACTGATCTAGTACATCAAGTACAAACATACACACACACACACACTCATCTCTCAGATTAACTGCATCTCTTTATGGTTTTATAAGTTATCGAGAACATTTTTTCCCCGATAATTTTATCACTAATTTTATCACTAATTTTATCACTAATTGACTAATTCCATTCGCAGGTTTGTGGGGATTTTATTGATTTGAAATTGATATTCATCCCAAACTGGAATTAGTTGGAGAGCTAGTGAAAACCTGGGAACACTGAACAGCTGTTTCACCCTACTTAGTCCAGGGCTCATCACTCTTGCACTTCCATGATCATCCCACTATGGATCAAGCCCATGACCTTCGAGTTTCGCACTCAGTATGTTAAGTAGTCAGCCACTGGGCCAGACTCCAACAGACCACATTTTCTTCCTTTGGTCAATTCATGACATAGGGTCACCTACATGCAACAACTTCTTTGATTATTGGTCTTTACATCTGACTTAGCTTGCCCAACCGATTACGAGTTCTGATTACAACATGAGGAATTTTTCATCTCGCTGCATTCCATTAAGGAAGACTGAACAGGTGCTTTGTCAAACGGTTCCCTGGATTCTGACCTAGTGACTCAATAGTAACTTCTTCACCGCAAAACCTAGAGATCCTGGGTTCAATCCGTGGCACAGTCGGCTGAGAAGTTTCACACCAAGACGAAACATTTGGCACTTCGAATAATGCTACAGTCTGTGCTATGGATGGCTGTCTGTTCCTCTGTTTTACACCGTGATATTTATGGTCAGTTATATGGTTTGTGTGGTTGAGAAGTTCGACTGAAGTCGATCAGTCCTCACAAACCTTCAGCTTAAGTGGATGTCCATTTCTCACTACTGAAATGCCTCTAGAAGAGATTTCCCAAGATTTAAATCAGAAGTCGGGACCTCGCCAAGAAACCTGAAGTGTCTGAACTCGATCCCGACCAAGCTTAACGGTATACACTTTTTAAGAGTTCTGTTGTAGGACAAAACATCTGTCGAATGCTTCAGTCAGTTGTAAATAGCCCCTAGAAGTCCTTCATACAATGAAATCCCAATATTCACACATTCGTTGCTTATTGTAAATTAGTATCGGGAAAAAAATTTTTAAAATCAAATGTTTCCCAGTACAGATTCTTAAATGTATTTTTGTGTTAACCAATTTGTATTTTCTGAAACGTACAGAGAAATCTTCGCTTCAACAACACCAATAAATATTAAGTCTGCTCTACCAAATTTAAGTTCTGGTTCACGTGGTTACTACCCACCAAGTACCCCTTCTATACCACGATCTACTGCCCCAAGCTATCAGCATGATAAAAATGCATATGGACTACGAAGTGGACGATCAACTGCTGAAGTCCCTCAACTTTTTGATTCAATGAATGAAATTCAACACTTGAAGTCACAGTTAAATATGCTGTCGAAACTTGTGAGCATTTGTTTATTATTATCATTATTACTGTAATTATTACTAATGTTTTAGTATTCTTGGTATGGAACCTCACCTAGGTAACTAGTTCACCAGTTACTAGTTGGTTCTAAGGACGGATAAAGAGAGAAGGTTGGGCATAAGGTTAACAACCCTGTCCTAGGAAACCAATCCAATCGCTAACTAAACTTCAGAGCACAAAGTAAATATTAAAAATAAAAATAAACTTATTCCTCACCGGAATTGGAAAAGTGAAAGCCTTCGGGAAGCTAATCGGTCACTATGTCTACGCCTCTCTCAATGAAAGCAAAAGTAAACATGGGGGCATGGAATATCCGCACGAACCTAGCAAGGCCGCCCAAATTGCCAAAGAGATGGGAAGGTTTAGCATTGAAGTGCTAGGTTTGGAATCTGCAAATGCAGATGAATGCAAGTGGATTCTCCCATCTGTCAACTTGATAGTCAGTAATCTACTCCGATATTGTCACCCTGACGACAACCACGAGCACACTGAGTTTTGGAGTGGCTATCGTGGTGTCCCCTTTGAAGATCATCGGAGGCTCTCATGCAGTGGGAACCAATCTCCTGCTGCAGGATCATGACAGCAAGGTCCAACTCAAAATGGAAGGAAAGTCACAATCGTACAATGCTACGCCACGCTACGCACCTACAAATAATGCAGACCAAGAGAAGGAGGAGGAATTCTACAGACAACTGCAATCAGTAGTGGACAAGACTCCAGTTGGTTGCATCAAAATTTTAATGGATGGGGTGACATGAATGCCAAACTGGGAGCAGATAAAACAGGAAGAGAACTCATCATGGGTTGAGAGGCACTTGGTGAAATGATGAACGAGAATGGAGAACTGTTTGCAGACTTCTGCGCGTTCAACGATTTGATGGTTGGAGGCAAGACAGTGTGTACACACACAAGGATATTCACAAAGCGAGCGACATGGATTTGATTTCACCAGACACCAGAACACACTACAGTGAAAATCAGATCGACTTCATCTCAATGTGAAGAAAGTGGAGACGCAGCCAGCCTACTGGACAAAAGATGAGATCAAGGATGGGAGCAGATGTAGGTTCACACCACTGGCTGTCTAGTTCAAGAAACCTCCAAAATCAAGTTAGAAGCCCTCAAAGAAGTTGATGATATACCACAGTTGAACCACAGTTAAACACGGAGAACAGAAAGCGAACTGAAGGACGAAACTACAAAGGACATCTTCACGTCAGCCGTCACGAAAAAAATAAGAGATATTGAGCAATATCCCCGAGGATATCTGCGTGGAAGAACACTGGAACTCTTTGAAAGCTATGTGGAAAGAAACCTGCATAACCGTGTAAGCAAGTACGAAGAAGAGATAAGACAAGGAATGGATCTCGACAGACACACGGAAGCTGATAGAGGAGGAAGAAGAAGATGGTGAAGCAGAAGATAAACCAGTGCGGGGCAGTACAAGGATGCACAACGAAAAGAGGAACTGAACACAACCTGTAAAACACTACGCTGGACAAAGAAGTGAAGAGGAGTGCGCGCAAAGACAAAAGACACTTCAACGACACACTGACAGGTGAATGACACCAGGCTGAATGTGGGAGAGACCTGACAACATTATACCAGATAACTAGGTTACCATCTGGGAAGAGATAAACTCTGGTGAAACCAATGAAAGACAGTGAAAGAAACCTAGTCAGCAAGAACGAGAAACAAAAAAAACGATGGGCTGACCACTTCCAAAAAACTCTTGAATCTACAACAATCACCACCTGAAACTCGTCCAGAAATACCACCAGCAGCCACAGAATTACCAGTGAACACCAGCTCTCCGACAAAAGCAGAAAAGAAGTCCTGAACACCACACGGCTGAAGATATCCGGGAAAGCAGCCGAATCAGATGGAATCCTGCCAGAAGCACTGAAAACAGAGATGCAGAGACATCTGCAGCGGACATGCTCAAACGACACCACTATTGCAGAAGGTTTGGAAGGAAAGAAGGAAGGAAGGAAAGGTACCTGCCAACTGATTAGAAGAAGAGCGACCTGGTCAAACTTTCAAAGAAGGAAAACCTAAGTCTTTGCAAGAACTGGTACAGAATCACGCTCCTGTCCACACCAAGCAAAATATTAAGCTGCATCATCCTGGAGAGACTAAAAGATGCGCTGGACACGAAATTACAACCAGGACAGGCTGGATTCAAGAAGTACAAATCATGTGAGAATCAAACTGCAAGGCTATGCTGTGCATCGTCATAGAACACAGAATAGAATGCCAGTCAACTGTACCTGTACCTCAACTTCATCGATTTGAAAGGCTTTCGACAGCGTCGACCGAGACGTATTTTGGCAGGCAACTGCTTCAACACCACGGTTTGAGTACCACAAACCTTTATCAACCTCATTCAACAGCAGCTATGTATTATATGATGAGGCTACATGCCGAGTGATTCACAATGGAAAGCCCAGTGACGCCGTTGAAGTGAAGTGAAGTGAAGACAGTTTGACAGGTAAGACGAGGTTGCCGACTACTATCACAAATGATTTTCCTGATTGTGATTGACTGATCTGGACTGGATGATGCAAGAAACTGTGAGGAGCGAGAAGACGAGCATACGCTGGCTGTTTGACAGATGAAAAGACCCTAGAAGAAGATTTGGATTTCACCAATGATGATTTATGTCTAATATCTTATGTCGCACAAACTCGAAGATCTACAGGTGCAAACTAACAAGGTGGCAGAAGAGACAAGGCGGGGCAGCGAAGACGGGACTTCCTTCAGGTGGACGTAGAGAAGCCAGAGGTGATGAAGATACCCAACCACCACCAGCAACAACAGCAACAAGAAGCACCAATTACCATCATTGGGAGGAATCTGAAGGAAGTTGTCTCTTTCACCTACTTACCTAGTGACCATCGTTTTGTGTACAGGTGGGCCAGATGAGGATGTCAAAGCCAGTCAGGATGGGAAAGATGGCAAGACAGGTTTCCCTTCACTAATCTGAAATCAGTGTGGAAATCTACTGCACTCACCACAAAGCGTGAACCATTTCCCGATTTTCAACACTAACTCAGTCAAGTCAGTGCTTCTATATGACGGCTGAGACAGTTGGCGCGTTACGAAAAGCATCTCCAACAAACTATAGACATTCATCAACAGCTACTCTCTTCACTCCCTTGATACTGAAGATCAGATGCATGATCAGAAAGAACAGGCAGGGAGGAACTCTAGTTGGCAACGAACCGACGAAGCAAAGACCTATCGCTTAGCAAATAAGCAGAAGAATAAAGTGGAAATGGATTGGGTTTGACGCAGACTGAGAAGACCATTCGGAGTGATCACGCGTCATTACAGGTTGTCGAGTGGAGCTTGAATAGGAAACGACTAGTTGGTCGATGTAGCCTAGGGTGACATGGTGGAGGTGGTGTGAGGAAGAAGTGAAAGCTTGTGGCAGTGATGTAGCCAGTTTGAGGAGACTGCAGAGAAGAGACTGAAATATTGATGTGTTAGTGAATCCCTATATTCCACTAGGAACTCGAGGGACAAGTAATTATAACGTTAAAATTATTCTTGGTACGGTATAATTACATAAATTTGGTGGACATTTGAAAATACCACTAGGTTTTTTGAGCGTACCTTCCAGTATTTGGTCAATACACAGTCTGAGACTGAAGGACAGCTTATCTAGTCTTAATTTGTCGTCTTACAAGAATCAGCCTAACGGTTTTTTTAGAACAAGTTACTGTAGGACATACGATTAGTTAGGTGCATTTTCAGATACGAGAACATTTACTGCGTTGGTGTGGAAACGGTAAAGTCAAAGAGGTGCACACAGTAATCATAGGAGATCCATCGTACTCCAGAAGCAGTACCAAGTGTAACTCGTCAACGTCTGTTCAACGTCGCTGAATCTATTAAAATGAAGCTGATCAAACCTCAACTATGCATTCATAAAGGATATGTTCAGGCATTCGTTATACCTCCCTTATCTTCCTCATTTGTTACTTTTTCATTTGTCATCACACTCTTCCCCTATGTGTATTTCATCTTAATACAAGCAAGTTTATTACGAAGGACCAGTTTCCCTGCAGTCCTTAACTCTCTTTTCATTTTGGAATTCTACTTGCTTCAAATTTAACTTCTTTTTACTCTGTACAGTTCACCTTGACAACTTTGGAACCTGATGAGAACCTGTCGATAAGAATATTCTTTGTGTAGATTATTTTAAATCAAAAAGTTGAATTCACCAAATAGGCTACTAAGTGTTGATCAGTGCCCTGTAAAGGAAACATGACGAATGCATCGTCGAAGATTGCAGATGTAGTTATTTTAAGACTTCAGATGATGTTAAGATTTAAAAAATTGATACTGGCGTAGATACACTGACTTCACCACTTTTCCACTGAAATATTTAATCTATTTTGAAAAGCATCTGCTTTATTCACAAACCTCATTTGACTGTTTTAAAACTTATAGAGACTACTTTTGTGGGCGTTGCTGATCAGAATGAAAATAAGTAGTATATGTTGAGAGGGCGGCAGAAATCATAGGCAATTACCAGCAGCGGGTAAATATCCTGCTCAGAGAAATGCAAGAGACAATGTAGGCGTATGAAGAGAAAATCGAGATAGAAGAAGAAGAGGAAGTGGAGTAGATCATGCAAATTACTGTTTCGTCGTTTCCTACACTACCACAAGAATCCGACACCAGTAACTCATCCTAAGTCACCAACTCAATGAATAACACTGTGTAACTCAAGATGGTTGATAATGATTTCAAATCATATTGGAAACACCAGCGACAAGAACAGTGGTAAATAGGCACATTAGGTTGAGGAGCTGCGAATGAGCTGGAGACCGTGTCTTGTATTCCACTGCTAGCAGAAATTGGATGAGAATAAGTAGTATCTTAGCATCCTTACACGTTTTGACGCCAGAACGTGTTGATTGATCATCCGCTTCTATGCGGATGCCTTGATATTGCCAGTATTCTTAATTTTGATATCAGGAATAGATAGTGGCTACCAGTGAAATCTAGTACACGCATTTCGTCCTATTTGGGACTCATCAATTGGGTGTACGTACCTCCCAACGAGTGGTTTTGATCCCACTAAGATTGAAACCCAGAACCAATCACTTCAAACTCAAAAGTGCGAAAATAACAATGCATCATTTTGATAGATGGAATAAAATCTTCACTACACTATCTATTGAGCATGGATCACTTGCGATTTTCATATTGAAGTACTTTAGTTAGTGAACCAAAAATCCGTATATTGAGTCATAAAACAAGGACACAACAGTGAAGTAAAATTTCTTCGCTACAGTTTCATTTAGAAAAGCTGTACATTTTCACTTAGGATTTGTCAAGTCATATGATTACAGTAATGTTCATTATGCCAAACCATAACTACCTCAGACGGTATCATTGATAATCAATGTAATGCACCCTCTATCTTATTCAACTTGTTTGGATTGAGGCCAATAAACATGATTAAGCAGCCAGTGTAATTATAATGGGCAAACAATGACTTATCAGGGACTCGCATGGCTGCCTCGTGGAACCCCTTATGATTGAAGTGTCATTAGTAGGTGGCTGATAGCTCCACCTCGTCGCTTAATTGGTAGACCACAGGGTTGGTAACGTGGAGGTAACGTCGATTCTTATCTAGTTAAAAATGAGATTCAGTGTGGATTTTTGTAGGAGAACCAATGGAGAACGCTTGAGGTTGTAGATTAAACTGTGGCAACGAATGAAAGTTGCGTTACATCGTGAATAGAACCACTGAATTCCAAGCCATTGGCTCAAAAACCAATCGGCTCACCGCAGAACCTACAGGCTCTGGGTCCGATCCATTACGAGGTTATGGTTACATACTGTCAAGGAGTTCCATACTAGAACAAAGCAGCTGTCCAGTGCTCCCAGGTTTCCAGCTGTTCTCAAACTGATATCAGTCTGTGATGAAAACCATCTTGAAAAAAAGGAGAGGTAAACGATAGGTAACCCAACTCTTTCAGCAACCATATACATATCAATGCATTGGTTGCTGAACTACATCAAGTGTATCGGAGTTAGTGATACAGTCTAACTACCCAAAGTTCTGTCAGTGAAACGGGGTTCAAACTCTTCGAGCATTGGTCAGAATCCAAGCAGTCGGCCTCCGAAAGTACTGGGGTAGACTTAAGGTTAGCAATCTGATGTAAATGCCCACCATGCAAATAGATACTGTAAGACAGTCGTTTAACTGGTTGGAAGGGTTTGTCATCTTGTTTTGAAATATACTACTGAATGACTTGAGTAGTCAGATACTATTCACACTGATACACAGATTTCGCCAGCCAAATCAATTATCTAAATACCGGACGACCATTTAGCTGGTTTGGGCCTGAGCTTATCAGCGGTGTACCCAGACAAATGCAGCTCATAGATCTAAGTTATTTCAGATCACTTGGTGAACTTAGCCCCCTTGATCTCTCCTGGCAAAATCTACAGCACAGCCAGAGTGGTTCCTGAATACTGAAGTTGCTTACGAGCCTGTGAAACCTTTTGATCAGAAATCACACCTTATGATCTTGCCTAACATGTGGGTTTTTTTAATAAAAGCCTCATTCACACCACGATTGGCGGATGGAAAAGAACTCCTCAGCTGTGAGTAACGTCAATATAGACTGTACAATTTGTAAACCATTTACAGATTGATTATCCCATCTTGTTGGAACTTTCTACAATAGCCTGAATAATGTCGAACAAATTAAGAAGGATGTTGGAGTGTTGGATAGGTGTTTCTTCAAAGTCTGTGAGTCCTCAGTAGTGTGTACTCACAAACTCACAAACTCATGAAGGATGTGATAAGCGTTATGATCTATGGGATGAAACACGTTCGAATTGAGTTAGATGCTAGCTGACGACACTGGTTGGTCAACGTGGCGTATCAAGAATTAACGGAAGTAGGGATATATGTACACTTCGGAGTGTAATCTAGTCGACGAATGGTAATGCGCTGACACTTGTCAGCCGCATCTCTCGAAGAGTCATGGGTATACACTAATGAGGAGTCCCAAGCCAAGATGAAACAGCTGTTCAGTACCTACAGAAGATGTTTATACGCAACGTAATCTATTTCCACATATGATATTTCATTTTCGCAATCAAAGATGTAAGTTTTACCTCGGATTTATCTGGTTTGTTATCAGTTTGTTGATGAAATCAATAATTCTATAGTTGTATTCGTGTACATTCTAGATTTATATAAGGTAAGGAGTAAGCGACAGAAGAAAGTATTAACTGCTTACGCACACAACTAGACTGAATCATTCGAACAACAACAACAATTCCACTTCAACCATAAAGTACAAATGTTCAAGCCAAAAATCTACAATCCACTTGGTGGGATCATAAACGCACCTTTCGTCCCAGTTGAGACTCATCAGCTAGATGTACTTGGACTCCAATGAGTGGTGTTGTTCCCCCTGAGACTCAAACCCAAAACCCACCACTCCAAACTTTAAAGTGTTATCTGTTAGATTACTGGGGGAAAGAGAGCCACTCTGTTCTGCAATAGGTATCAGTTGTTATTACTTAATGATATTTGTGGTTTGCTGTTGCCTTACTGAGTTGAATTTCTCGATCTCTGTAGTAGCTAAATTGACCAGTTTCTTATTACATTCATGATAACACCGAATCGTCTTTTTGTTGACTAATCAATTACCAGATTGAACCAGATGGTCCCAGTGGTGTTCGTGCCGCTTCAGTGTTTCATTCAACAGCATCCAAGAGCACAGTAAGTGTTTATATTCATATATACATATATACTGGTTACTGAGGCCGTGTCGTAAAACGTTACTTTTCTTCAATATCACTGATAGTTCGAGTAAATGGTTGAAGTAATTTGTTAGGATCTACTGAAACTAACACTTACGCTTCTTCAAGCTGTGACAATCTTTGAGGTGGGATAATCACTCTGTTGAGGAATTCCATCGTGTGCGAAATGCAGGTTTAGAAGCTCTGATCGGTTACTTTCATATAAACACTTATATTTTACTCAATATTCAGATAGTTTCAAGGTACGGAAGTACACGAATTTGACTAATACCTCTTGTTTTCATTTGTACAACTGAAAAATCGGTTGCGCTGCCGTAGATGTGGAAACCCATTGTCATTTTAAAGTCTTGAGTATTTCTTTTCTTCTTCACGCATATTCCTTTGCCTACTTTCATTTTATTCTTCAGTTCATACACCATTTATTTGTTTGCTTCTGTCAAGTGTGGTAACTTGAAGTAATGCACTTTCATGACAGGCTGCATATTGATTTTATCTGTCAAAAGGATGTCTCACAGCTAATTAGTCAGTAGAATGCTCAGCTGGCAACCTGAAAGTTACTGTTTTCAGTACTCTCATAAAATAGATTTTATTTTCAGCTTAAGTCAGATCCTAATACAGTTATACATGTACATTGATTGGTCTCTGAAGAGCAACCAATTTCATGTTGTTTAGTCCTAAGCGTTGACCGAATTCTGTCGATCATCCCTTCAATCTGACCACCAAACTAGGATTCTCAGCCTGAATATCATGCTGGTAACGTCGCTGACTGTAGCATCGGGTGGCGTAGATTTGAATCTCATGCGGTAAATCTCTTACCTCAATGTTGTAAATAAGCCTTACTGATGAGTACCGATAAGTGTGAAACCAAAGTCAGGGAGGGGCTTTCAGGCCTTCACATACATGCATGTTACTCGTCATCAATACGGCATAAGCGTTCAGAGCAGAATGAACTGTGTTTCTTGAATTCAAAGTTAGGTTTATTGTAATAGAATTCGTCAAATTCCTAATTAATTTAACAAAACTTTTAGGTTAGATATTCCTGTTTGCTAGTCGGCTAAAATTACTTCAATATCAACCTTTTTCTATCCACCTATCCTTCTTAGGCTGTCACCCAACTGTTTTGTTTTAATCTTCCTTCTCCAGGCTTTTATTTTGAGGCTGACTAGAACTGAAATTCATTTTGTTGAAGAACACAGAATAGTCATCAGAACAAGAACTTAATGATAAGACAATGAAAAAGAGACGAGTCGATCAGAAATACTAGAGACAATTAGGTGCTACAGAGATTGGTGGAAGGTCATTTGTTAAAGTTATCAGACGATATCGACTGAGATGACCGGCACCTGTATTTCGAATGCCTCATCATCGTCTTATCAATTACATAATGTTAGCTAAAGTAGTTTCAGGCTGCGGAAAATTTATAAGGCAGAGAGACTGAAACATGACATCAATGCATAGAATCTTCTGCTGTTGGTTTAAGCTATGTAAGAAAATACAGAATTCCAAGTTGGAGTCAGTTTGATAACAGAAACCACAGTGTTGGAGACTGTAGATGAAATGGCCCAGAATCGATCTCAATAGTGCAGATACATTCACATTTAATTTTTTCGTTATTGGTCGTTTATTAATCCCGACGATGGTTTCGTCTTGAACACACAACAAGTTTTAAGCCTTTTATGGCTATGGTGTCAGCATTTCTTGTCAAAGTTTGGCTGGTCTTTGTGATAGCTATTTTAGCTATTTAGTGCGTTCACATGATGTACCATACCAATCAGATGCTGAGTGATCGCAGTGGGAAAACTATTGTCTTAAGTGGGTCTGAGAAATGTGTTCGGTAAAACTGAGGTAGGCCCTTCTTTCTGTCACTCTAATGTACCTTGTTCAGCGGTTCCCTTAACTAACATACGCGATAGCCTGAAGCATAGGGATGGAATCTGTCAACTTTAACTACAAGTGTATGCTCGCTGTTTTGGTACAAAGGAATCAACTTGGCTAACAAAACAAGTTATTTTCAGAGGTATCTTCAGTCTACTGTGAACCATCATCACCAATCTGAACAATCAAAACTGGCTTTCTTTCATCTGTAATCTTCTTCAGGACATCTTCAGTTCAATCATAATCGTTGGTAAACTCCTGTGGATAACCGTTGTTCTCTTCCCCTGAACAAAAGCTGTTGAAATTAGGGTTCAGTCCGTTTCATGTACTCGAATGAATAGATCTTTGAACAGTACCATACGTTGAAATTCATATGCCCATTCTGTTTGAATTCAAAATATATTTTCTCTTTACAGGACTGGTGTATGGCAGCAAATTCACATCAAAGTGCGACGATAATATACATATACTCATTTTATGTTGACAGCTACTGAAAAGAAGGTACATGAGTAGTATATGACACTATATCCAGCAGTTAAACATTATTATTAAAATTCGACTATTGAAGATTCTAGGTAACAGAATACACAATATCCCGTGATGTAGGTTTGAATTCTACGCAGCTATCTATCCTTCTGCTGATGGTCTCCGTTTTGAGCAGTCACGAAATGATCCCGACTATGTTAGTTATTCGAATAAACTTAAAACCTATTTTGTAATTTCTTGGATCTGTATCTTCAGGGTTATGTACGGAAAACGAAAAAGGTATAGCAAACAGTCACTCTTTTCAGCGATATCATCCTCATGCTGTATAATCGCCTACCTAAATATTCTATTCACATGGAGTAACAGAAAAGGAATGTTTCATGAAATATTTTTTGAACGAAGTTCAAATTTGATTACAAATCAGGAGATCAGAATAAGAACTACGTAATGTTTGAAAACATAATGGGAAGAAGACTTATCAAGACAGAATTAATCTTTGGTTACTAAGTTAAATTGTGTAACGCAGTGCATGTAAAGGGAAATCCGAATATCAGGAGTGCAGGATTGTGGTGTGTGAGAATTTTTGCAGATAAAATGTTCTCAAAGGTTATGTATACTGCAACTCAGGTGGCTGGACAAATTTCTTTTGAACGCAGAGTTCAGGCTTCAAAATATTAATTTCCAAGGCGCCGGTATTTCAAAGATGAAGTTTCAGGTGTACACTTTTCACGAGATTTGCAAGAACTATATAGATGACACTGAAATTGTTTTCTGCACTTACCGGGTGGTTATAATCGATCAAATGCTCTAAAATGGAGCTGTGAACTACTTTCTTTTCTCCTTTGCGGAACCAGGCAGGCAGTAAACAGGCAGACGCTGAGCACGGCCAATATACCTTACTCCACATGAGCAGGTGAATTGATAAACAAACATCGAGGTAGATTGGAGAGCTAGCTTATCCTTTAAGCATAACCAAAGCATTGTGTGTGGGGGGGGGGGAAAGTTAGTCTGAATTTGGCAGCATAGAAAGTCTTTCTCAATAAGCCTGCAAATTGGTTCCTCAATATATCTGCTGATGCGTCTCTGTTGAACTGTAATCTTATTAAAAGAGGCTTCTTAGGAGCCATAGAAATGAAATGATTGTTTTTTCTTTCATTTTCATTGTTTTAGCAATGAAACCCTCAGAATACTGGTTTTAACTTAGTAACCAAATATAAGTTCGGTCTCGAAAAGTTTTCTTCTCTTCACTATTTCAAACACTGTTTAATTCTTTTTCCGATCCCTTCCTTTATAATTTGATCTGAACCTCGTTCAAAATATTTCATGAAACATTCCTTTTCTGTTACCCCATGTGAATAGAATATTTATGTAGGCGATTGTATAGCTTGAGATATCCCTGAAAAGAGTGACTCTTCTCTATACCTTTTTGTTTTTCGTTATTGTTTACCTAATCTCTCTATGTCTGTTTTTAAAACTCCATACCACTTTGGAATATGTTCTGCTTTGTTTGTCCATCTTATTATCTTTATGCGCCGTAGGTTGATGCACTTATATGAGGTGTGGCAACTTGGACGGTTATACAGTAATGCTAGGTCGTATGTTGATTTTATTAGTGTAAAATGTTTGAAGTTCAATGTTCACCAATAGTAGGAAATTTTAATTAAGAATAAGTTGACGCATAGTTTATGAAAATTGTTCTTTGTTTTCTTCTCGTGTCTTTCATCTTCTCTGTTTTTAAATGTTTTTGGTGCTTTTATTTTCCAGTTCCTCTCTTGTGATAATAAAGTTTGATTCTGGTATAGTATAAAATATTCAGCATGTAAAGTATCAAAGGAAGTGAAACTATGGTGTCACCTAAAGAACAGTTTGCAAATTAATTGCCAGAGGTTAACCGATGTAGCTTTCTAATCCTGAGTACTCAGTATCAGTCGTGTGATTTTGGTTCTGATGACCACGGAAACATCCACTTTCTGACGGTTGCAGATACATTTTGCTACTGTAACTTTTTCTGTCTAACCTTTAGTTATTTTATTACGCACAGGTGATGAGAGAAGCATACAAAAGTTGAGCAGTGGTGGTCTTTCTAACCGGCATTATAGAACATTCGGTTCATTCTGACTGACTGTGTCAAAATAGCCATGTGATGCATTCTGGTGCGATTAACAGTCAATTACAATCTACCATGATGTTTTATTTTTATTTTTGTCGTTATCTTACAAAGTGTAAGGTTGAAAACACTTTTAAAAGGCATCATATTTAGCATGTGATGAGACAGTAGAATCTATCCTGGTGTTGATTGATTAATGGCATTTCTGTTGGGTTTGAACACCGAAGTAATAAACTAGTATCGTTTTAAATACATTCTAGTCGATCTATTCACCTTACATTTGCATTGTCAACAGTTAATATATTGTATGTTATATCTTCTGCTGTCCAGCTGTGAATAGTGACCGCTGAAAGCAAATAGTATGGTGTATTTGAACCATATTGCTAAGGTTATATGAAGTAACCCAAACTTATTTCCAATTGTTAACAACTGTAAGCGTAGGCCGCGGTACTCTTTGGGTGATCTAAGTAGAATAAAATCTTTAAATGGCT